TAAAGGACCCCGCACTTTTCTTATGTAAAAGTGGTTTCAGTTAAATTGGCTGAAATTTTTATATGTTACAGCTCTTAACCTGTCGATCAAAAGTCTCCATTGGCACAATATCCTAAAGTTCATAGTTTTCGAGTTACGTTGACTTTAGAGCAATAACTCTGTATTCGAAGGGATAAAAATTTTATTTGATATTTTTTGTTGTTTGCGTTTGCATTACCCAAGGTGTACCACGTGGAGGTTGCAAAATCGGTCCAACAACTCTTTGGGGTGGCTTTTTTACCGTAAGGTCCCCTTGCCTCCCACCATCAGAGTGTCTTTTTTACCGTGAGCTTCCCTTACTCACTAATCTTAGTACGTCTAGATACATGTATTTTTATTTTCATAGTTCAATATCATTAATTTCTATGTTATTATATTTTGTTGTTTTCCTAACCATTGATTGCTTAGCAATTAACAATAATTTCTTTTTAACACATTCCTTTAACGGATAAAACAGAGGTATTGCTACAGTCCGTAGGATATTTGTAGAGATAAAATTTCAAGATGCCACCGCGTCCCTTTTTTGGAATTAACCGCATTCGACACCCGAGGCAGAAAGACATTGGCGGTGTGGCGTTTACCGATTAGGGGCTGTAGTCAGTTACTTAAATACATGTTTCTTTGTTTATTCCTTTTTTTGTACCAGCGTGTTTATAATTGTATTATATTCTAGTTTATTTTTGGTTTGTACCGTACCTACTATAAAAGAAATAAAAATACATTTTAATTAAAAAAAAATCAACTTTATATACAGGGTGATTCAGTCATGTCATTAATTTTAACCACGTATTCGGAAGGCCTAATAAAGATAGAAAATCGAAAAAAAAGATTTACTCAACCTTTTAAAAAATAACCAAATTACCCCTTAACTCCTGTTAATTCGCCGTTCTACTTCCCGACACGTACCGGCGGACTTACAGCGTTCGAAGGTCGAAACGAAACAGCTGATGTTTTACCCAGTCATCTAGAATTTTGCAATTGGTTTCAAAATCAAAGTGCAGCGGATCCTAAAACTTCAATAACAAAACTATGGACGAATGAGTGAGGGTAGTGTAATTTTAAATAGGAATGTACTATACTCATTGAAAAGTAATGTCACACAATAAGGTATACGTACTACAAACTGAATAATTGAACATATGTAATACTAAAAACTCATATTCAATTATAAATCGTAGTGAATTCGATAACAATCTTAAAAATACTAAATTGTATAACTTAACATTCGAAAACAATTATTATCCTTATATATTTGTTTTTATTATCAAATAAATAATAGGCACTTCTTAATATTTAAAATGTAAAAAATTATCTTATTCATTCATATATCTGGCTAAAAAGCTTTATTACCTCACTACAGATTGAAAACGTATTAAAAACTAAGTTAATGACCAAATGTTTCGGTATTTCAAGATCCACTCTCGATAAAGTTTGTAGGTCAGCGGTCCGGAGCTGTCCGAAAAGGGGTCTAAATAATGATTTGAAAATATTTTTTTTTCATCGTAAATATGCCTTTAAAGTTTTTTTAATCGCTAATTCCATTTTGCCCTATCTTCCCTTAACATTAATGACATTATGACTTAATCACCCTGAAAATAACACGGAAAATTTCAAGCCACGCCTCTGCCGAGGTAAACTGTTACAGTAGTTCTGATAAGAGAACTTTATTGGCTTATTCTTTTCTTAGAATTATATCTCAACAAATATTGTACGCACTGTACCTATATCTTCGAAATGCAATGTGAACAATTAGATAATAAATCATATTTTATTTCCCCAATATCTTCATAAATTATAAAAGTTGCAGTCGATTTTCATTTAACCACTTTGTAAATATAATTTGATAATATAAACTATAAAAATTTCCAATAATTAAAGTATCGTCAAATATTTGTACAGGCCTCTAATCTCTAAATATAATAAGACATAAAAATGCCTGGTTATTGTAATAGAAATTAGAAATAGACCAGATAGATATATGGAAATATAAACACTGATGTGAAATAACAATTTTCTATAATCAACAGTGGCGTTTACATATCCCAAAATATAAGACTGATGGTCAATTAATTGTGGTCTTCTTATAAAGACGATCTTCTCAAAAGTTGATAACAATGTGATAACGTATAAAACATACAAATATAAATTGGTAATATTTTATAGTTAAAAGTTTAAACACGTATTATCTACTCGTAATTACATATAATTATACAATCCTTGGTTAAATGAAAAATAAACATAAATCACAAATTTGTTGTTGTTTTGATATACTTAAAGACAGATTTCACATTAATATTTTAAATTAAAAGCAAGGCAACTACGTAGTAATAATGAACAAAGTTTAATTAAGTTTTTCAAATCTTGGGAAATTCGTTCAAACTTTTTATGGTTAGTATTTTTATTTTATCATTTAGTTCTTGTAACAAGTTGCTAGAGCAATACCTATGTATTTAAGGAGTTTTACCACATAAATATCTTTAAAAATATACCATATAAATTAATATGTACTTTTGTACTAAGTTTTCATTATCAACAAAAAATTGACTTACTTGGTCACGTTTGTTGTTAAATTATTAGAAGTAAATAACTTTAATAAATACATATTTAAATTTGATATTTTGAAGATACGCAAATAAATTTTTTATTCGAAACGTACGTAAATAAAGGAAAATTGTTTCATAAGTTATTTTTATTGAATTGATTTTTTTTCATAATTTGAACAGCTATACCTACAGAATAATCTATACAAGGTGGTATGTATGTAACGAATGAACGAATGATACGTGACAAAGCTATAGGTAAGCAATGAAAGTATAAACTTTTTTTTTTCATCAACTTTTGACCATTTGAAATTTCTTAACAATTCTGAAACAATTTGAAATAAACACATATAAATCGCAGGTGTAATATGTCTCTGCGAGACATAATTTAGTGGCAATATTGACAAAAAAAAATTATCGATATTTCCATTACTTTACACAAAAATTTGGATGTCATTTATTAGGAATTTTATGCAGCCTTTTCCATTGATTGTCATTTCCATACCCTGTTGATGGCGTAATAGCCGAAACTAGTAGGAACGTTTCTACTTAATTAAAAAGGGCCCTAACCCACCACATTTACCAGCTTTCGGTTTTACAATGGATTTTCGTCAAGAAATTTTTAGTAGTTTAGGTAGTGGCCATTCTTATAAAAAAAATAACAAACAGGTGGTTTCTTAATCACTTCGTACAATTTTCGGAAATAACAGTCCTATGTACAAAAAAAATGTCATATACAAGGTGTGCCATTTAACACTCCCGCTGCCAATATCTCCGAAATGAAGAAATTTGTTTTAGTTCTGGAAATTGGTGTTATTAGGTCCCTCGAATAGCTTCAAAATGTTCTAACTACGATTTGAAGCTGTTCGAGGGATCTAACAATCCCAGTTTCCGGAACTAAAATAAATTTCTTCATTTCGGAGATATTGGCAGCGGGAGTGTTAAATGGCACACTCTGTATTTTTATCTGTAGATAACTGCAATTTTGAAGATGTTTGCAATAAAATAGCAAACAAATTAATTAGTAGGTTTTGGATATTGGATGACGAATTGTTTCAAATAAATGATTTGTAAGCTATTTTATAGGTTTCCTATTCTAAACTTTGTTTTCAATTTAATGTTAATTTCAAGTGATTATTTGTTTGGAAACCATTTCCACCTTCAAGCTAAGGAAAATCAATAAGAGATACCTAATAGCTTTACCTATAATTAATTTGAAATAGTTTGTCATCTATCCAAAGTCTATTAATTAATTTATGCAGATATATCGAAGCTTCATATTTCCAAATATTCAGGGTAACAGAAAAACGCCAATTTATTGTTTTTTAATTATGAAAATGGCAATTTTCTGTAATTGGTATTTCTACACGTTGAAAATAAAAATTGGAAAAAACATCCTCTTGTGTCAAAACAACCACCTAGTCGAAGAGTTAATTTTATAAATTTAGTCTTACCTAACCAACAAATATCTTATAGTAAGAAAGTAGATAAATATCTGAAATAAAAAATTAGTCATTTATGTATCAAATTTCATTTGACGTTATGCATAAAGAACTAATTGTCAGGTTTGTAATAGGTACTATTTGATATGTCGGAAATAGTGTAGTATCTTTATTTTTAAAGCATTTATCTTTTTCACTTGAAAAAGTATGAAAATGCTGAGAACGAGAGAAAAACGGTGACACAAATTAAAAAAGAAAGAAAGAATATAATCTTTTTGGGAGTCAAAACATCCGAGAAAGATTTGCCCCATGCGCTTTTACCCAAAGATTATCTAAATATACAAAAAATTTTCATCTGACAACTTCAGAATCTAATAACTATTCAAGCTGAGCCTAAATAAAAAAAATAACTCATGCCGTAATTTTTGCAAGGCCCAGAAATTGCCCATCAATTCCTGGACACTATGTATTGCCAAATGTAGTGACTGGAATCCTCTATCTCAGGTTTTAACAAGAATAAAATTATTGTTTTTTTTTTAATTTTTTTTTTCTATACTGTATACCTTTATTAAATATACAATGTGGACCATTGAAATAATTAATTAATACATAGGTGGTATAACGAATTCAGGGACAAAGGTGCTTACCTTATAAATGGGCATTTGCCAGGATCCCTATTTTAAAAAAGGCCCCGATTCAATTTTGCACATGGTCGTTTAAATGTGTAATGAATAAATATTTAAGACGTTAGGTAAATATTCGCAACATCATGTACAAATTGGCGACCATAAAAATTTAGAATTAATTTAAATAAAAATAAATTAGGTACCTACCTAGGCAAATATACAATTAAAAACGAAAAAGGGAATTCACAGCTAAAATTTAAATTATGTAAAATGTTGCTGATGTACCCATGTTTATATTTTATATTTAAATTTAACACATTATGAATCACAATTCCGTGTATAAGTAGGTAATCTTTATTTTCAACAATTTTAAAATATAAAATATGTACGTAAATTTACCATAGTTTCCTGGTAAACCCAACATAACTACTTGTAGAAGTACCTACTGCAGTTTGCTATAGCGTTCAAGTGATTGGTACAGTTGTGGATAATAAACAGTTTCCGATTTAAACTGCTTACGGCTCTGCACAAAATGGAATTTTACTAGTTTCGTATTTTAATGTGGCCATTTTTTTCACCTCCTACTAATTCTTTTTGCCAATTAAATCTAGATTATCTCACAAAAAGTTAGATGCATAAGTGAGAGATAGATTTAATGGCAAATAAACGTGTCCGACAGTTGGGAAAATTAGTCTTTTAAAAGTTTTGGATCGGAAATCTTTTTTGTCCACGACTATACGTAGAGTACGATTATATTTATCTCACAAATACCGTTAAGTTAAATGAAATGAATATGTACTATTTGAATTCAAAATAATCTTTTCTGTACAATGTAAATAACGCAAGCAATAAAGAAAGCAAACGCAAAAAACATGAGGATTTTATCCGTGAATTCCCTCCTGCCATATTTTGCCAACAATTTACCAGACTGGGATATCGTGCCGGAAGTAAATTTCAGTTCTTCCTGCGTCCCAGTAACACTATCGGAGGATGTCACAAGGGTCTCCAAAGTTTCAGCGCTACGTTTTGTCGTATCTGCTAGTTGACGGCTTATAGATAATAATTGATCCGTTACGTTGGAACTCATTTTTGCCATACTTTCTTTATCCCGCTTTTGTCTTTGGCGAAGAACGGTTTCTTCATTGGTCGGTTTGAGCAGTTCCTCTTTTGCCCCTTTTTCTATAACCAACATCGATTTCAAATTTGCTTTTTTAAAAGCATCCATTGTACTAAAAAAAAATACAAATTACTGGCAACAACTGGTACGTATTTTATTTTTTTGATAAAATTATGCAATACCGATCGAATCCAACCTACTCGATTTTGACAATGTCCTTTTTCCGCATTGTATTGTTTTGCGGTTCCATATTGCCAGATAAATTTGTTCGAAATTACCATTTATTTCTTAAATTTGCCACTATATTTGGAAACATCCTGAAGGTATAACCAAATTTAGAAATTTTTAACTAGCGACATTAATTTTACAGGTGCATGATATATTTTATGAGCAATATAGATTTTTGGTTCTTAACAAATATAATTCTACTCAATGGCGTACAAAGAATTTTGTCATGAGACGTTTCGTAACACTAAGTTTTAAAAACTTAAAAATTGTCTGTTGTCCCCTATTATTATTTTTATGAAAAAAAACAGTTTTGAATAGTCCACAGAAATACTTTATATTTTTAATTAATTAATACTTTTAATAGGCTTTAAAAAATTTTCAGGGTTGGTCTACTAAAAATAAATAACTAAATTTACCACTGGACGTGCAAGTCCACTTGCAAAAAAAATTTTTCTATCGTTTATGTGCGCATATTGATTACATATTGGTCACATTATTAATGCATACCCCGCTAAACACGAAACGTAAATGAAACGTTGCAAATGAGATGTTTTACTAAACATTTGAAACATTAACTGGAAACGTTTCTGTTTCATTACAGAAATGTAGCACTTGAAAACTTATTTAGAGAAACATAGCCGAAACGTTACAATTGAAGAGAGTTTGAAACATTACTCGAAACATTACCTTTCGATCTCGGAAACATAACAGACGAACAACCCTTTGCTATTTTTGCTTATCTTATGGAACAATCGGCATTAGTTAAATTTTGCTCTCAATCCCCAATCCTTCTCAAGCGTTAGTTCATTTGCCTTTGTTATATAGACATAATTAGAAAAAAATGTGTGGTAGCATATTTATAACACAAGTCTAGAAAAAATGTATGTTCGTGACTTGCGTAGACTGCGCGTAACAGCCCGAGTTTATTTGTTTCCCGTGTGTCGTTTCAATTCGTATTATGTTAGGTTAGGTTTGCGGTTTGTCAGTTTGCTTGGTTTCGTTGTTATTCATCTTTACTTTGACGCTATTTTATGTGATAATTTGTAGTGTGTGCAGTTGTGGTTATTGTAAGGTGCATATAAAATAATGAATATTGATGCAAAATGTTTAAAACGATATGTGTAAAGAGATTTCCAATTTTGCGTCACATCTACCTAAATATAGTTATACCCACTACCTATTACAGACAAGAGGACAAGGGACAAGAACTAAGAAAATGGAACAACAACTATACGTTTCGATATAATTTGAAGAGCAACTACTTAGTCAGTGAGAACTATTTGAAATATGGATGAATCAAGTGAAATAGACGTCATTTATTTTATATTTTGTACAAATGTTTATATTTGTTTATGTGTATAGGCATGCTTAAATAAAAGAGTTTAGGTATACCTACAGATATTTACTTTGTCAAGATATCATTTTGTATCCTTATTTCTGCTGTATAATTTATTATTATTAAAAGGATATATGTAATATTGACCATGCGTAGAAGAAATTATAACTTTATATTATTTTTCAGTAATGTTATTTGTTTTTCATGTACCTACCATTTTAAGATTCATAATCATAACTAACTTTTTCTAATTATCAGTTCGTCATTGTTACCATATTCATGAAGGTCTCAACATTAGAAAATTTCCATTTCAGAAGCGTATTTGAACTATATAAAATGTGTAGTTTTTTTTTAATGCTTCTGATATTGTTTTGTGATATTTTTATTTGTACGATGAATGGCAAAATTCATAATCCATATTAGAAACTTTTTTCAGTGGCTTCTCAAAAAGAAAGAAATTCTTAGTAAAAGTTGCCGCATCCCCAAACTAGAAGAGCATATTTATTTTTTTTAATATACAATGTAACTTTTTTTAGTTCGAATTAAGTCATTCACAATACAAATAAAAATATCACAAAGGAGTATTAGAGATATTTAAAAAAATACTCACACTATTTATACTATTTCAAAAACGCTTTTGAAATGAAAATGATCTAAAGTTGAGAGCATTATGAGAACAATATGGTAATAAAATTATTATGTTACTCAAACATTTCTGAAAATATACTGAAACGTAAAACAAAAATATCGAGGGCATAAATGGAACATAAAAAGAATGTTACTGAAACCAATTTTTTGAAACGTTTCATTGGAAACGTATTTTGAGGCGGACATCTTGGGCTTCTAGAACGTTACCAAAACGTTGCATGGATTTTGTATGAAACGTTTCAAGAAAAATGGAAACGTTTCTGAAACATGTCAGAAACTGAAAAATGTTTAGTGGGACTACTCCATAGTCAGCATCATAGATATATTTTAGAATTCTTCTTTCAGTTCTATATTTATTTATTTATTTATTTAACCTATTATAAGTCGACAAATCGCTTGAAAAATCATAACTAAAGGAAAAATTCGCGAATTGCCAGTACGGGTTCGATTTCGCGACGTCAAAGAAAATATGGGTTTGCAAAAAAAATAAACTTTATTTCGGGCCTATTATTCTACCCATTTATTAGTTATTAAAGATGTTTTTAAAAATAAATTTTAAAAATCTATAAAAATATTTAATTTGAGTAGTGTAAAAGTATTTGCAAAATCCCCTTTGGTACGCCTCTGATTCTCCTATCAACATAACTGTAATCGTAATCCTGTACAAATATGTAACAGACAGAGTACCTATGTTTTATAAAAAATACATATTTGGTAAAAATCTACTTTCGTCAAAGTAACCATTAACAACAATCAAAGCAATAAAAAACAAGATGTTTACCTCGCCAACTGCTCCCTTTGAAGTACGACTTCCTTCAGTAATACTGGATCTTTATTTTCCTTTGCGATATCTCCAAATCTGTCTATAAATTTCCTTAGAGCAGATATTTTCGAACGTCCCGCGCTGTTAAGCGCATGCAGTTCTGCCAATGGACCGACACATGCATTGATATCCTGACAAGAATAAATGGGGTCGTGTCATATGTTGTTTAAAAGTAGAGCAATATTCATTACCTGAATGATGGCCTTCAATTGCAAATTATTTTCTGTAATATCTTGTCGTAAATTGGTTAGTATGTATTGAGATGAATCCATCACAAATTGTATTTAATTTATTCAGTAACACGATAAATATTTTTGTTACATGGAATGTAGTTGTCTTAGGTTAGTTTTCTGAAGTAGTGAGTAGATGGCGCATTGCCAAATTCAGGTAAAATATTTTTTGTAATTTTCAAATTGAATAGGATTTGAAATGTTTAAATTTAAATTTTTCACCTATAAATATATGTTTCATTTTACTGTATTGTACAAATTTAGTTTAACAAATATTTGTACAGGGTGTCCTTTAATTCGAACGCCAAATTTCTACAGAGCGTTCTTTGGTTAAAATCAATAAGAAAAGTTCTAATGAATTGTAGGGATCAATTCCAGCTTCATATGAAGATAAAATAAATAGCTGGAAGATGATCTTTTGACGACGTTTTTTAATGTTTTATTCTAAAGCATCAGTAGCTATGAGGTTTGGTGTACATTTTTGCATGGTAATTATAATGATCCAAATTTGTATATGTTAAAAAAGTGGGTTGCGTGGGATATGTTAATTTTCATAGCCACTTTGAAAAAATAACAGCTTTTTATCTCTTGAAAAATGCAAAACTAGATTATAGGACGAGTTATAGTATAGCTGAAAAAAATTATTGCTCTTGAAAAAATACAGTTTTCCAGTAAAACTAACAAGTATACTATCATATTACCTAGGATAACACTAATAATATATCAAATATAATATAATGTTTACTTCATGGACAATGAATAAAATTACCGGAATTTAGAAATTGGTCAGGACAACAGCAATACCTAACTACTTCTTCTCCTTCCCCAACAGTAAAATAATTTTACAAAAACATTATTTGCTATTACATGAAAATAGAAAACATGTCCATTTTCTACCTACGTCTCTTAGAAACATACATTTTTTTTTTAATATGAAAATTATTTATACTTTCTGAATGAAATATTTGTTACATTACTGTTTAGTACCTACATTCACTGTCAAATTTCTTCAAAATGTTTGGTATATACATTTTTTTATAGTTTCATATCTAATAATTTTTATACATAGCAAATGAAAAAAACAAACTACATCTTAATAATTACAAAAGATCATATTTTTTACAACCTGTATTTTTTCAACCGAACATTTTTGGACCATAGTTTATAAAGCACCACTATCATTAATTTTCCATGTAGAATTACACCTCTAAATATTCGCATATCATTAAGGAACACCCAGGAAAAAAATTCTGCAAATGTATGTACAACCCTTTTCCAGATCTGTTGGCAACCCTTATTTTAATTTTTTATTTTGCAAATTCCCTTCAAGTGTTCGTCTTGAAATTTCTCTAAGAAAACAAAATGGTATTAAATAGGCATCCTTTGTATCGTTACATAATAAAATACTTTTCGATTTTACTCGCAATTGTGACCATCAAAATTTTTCAATTATCATTCTGATGTCCTACAGGGTCTAAATTTATATTTTCCGAGAAAATTTGCTCTATTTTTTTTATCTAGGTGGCTTTGAAAGAGAGGGTCCACTCAATCCATTCTTTTATGACCCTCTATAAACGAGTTATCAAAACCCAAAAACACCAAATTTGGTATTGATTCAATTACTTTAGATATTAACAAAAAATTAGTCTGGTCATCTTCAATCTACAATATCTTCATAACAAGACGGAATTTGACCTCTAGTTTACACTAAGGAACACTTTGCAAGTTTAACAGTTGAATTAAGGAATCTTGTATTAAAATATAAAAATGCCTTTTTACAATTTTAAGAAGTGCATACCATTTTATAGAAAAAAAAATCTCAAGTTGAAAATAAACAAGGCATTTTGCTGTTAAACTAAGCTGCTCTATGTAACCGCCGTAAGAAAATGAGGAAAAAGAAAACTTCAAATATATATTCCTTTTCATTAGAATATTTTTATTTCTAAATTATACAAAAATTAGTAAAATAGGTACAAAAAAAACGTGATGTCCAGAGCTGCTAACTAAAAATCACAGATTCAGTTCTTCCCACAACCACAATTTCTTTATGGTACAGTAGGTACTGTTTTCTTTTGTAAAAATTGTAAAAGGTAGGTAGCTAATTATCAAATATGGATAAACAACCAATAATTAAAAAGGTCATTCAGGATATGGTTGAATTTTTTTAAATGTTATATACAAGAAGTATTTTTTAACCCGATATTTTAACTGACAAACAAATGACCAAAGACCAAAGATAACATTAACATAATTGCTAAACCACCTAATCAATGATTTTGTAAATGGAATGAAATGTAAATGAGTATTGTGTTTATTCATTTGAAATTATTAACATCACGAGCCTGTTAACTTTTACTTACAATTAACTTAACATTAAATATAAATATACAGGGTGTTCCTATATATCATGTACATAAGGGAGGGGGTAATTCTTTGGCTTATTTCATGACTAAAAGTTCATATAAACATAGGTCCGCAAACGTTTCGTTACCGATCTACAGGGTGTTGAAATTTTAAGATTTTTTTAGTTTTTTCTCTATATCTCCCACAGTTTTTGCGATATTTAGCTGAAATTTGGAATATAGGTTACGCTGTAGGGCTTACATCATTGGGCATGCCAAATGGTCGTGATATTTTTTCGGGGTTCATGCCCCCTTTTCTTCTCCTGAACTTTTGTGCGGTGAGCCGCTGGTAGATTCTAAAATCAAAATTGAATTTTATGTTTTGTTAAGAAACTTTTATGTATGATTTTTTCGTATTTGCGACCGTTATCGAGAAAAAAAATAAAAGCGATTTTGTGTAATTCGTTAGATGAAATTTAAATTCTTAAAATGGTCCAGTGTAGGCTCTGGCTTTATTTAGATAAAATCTTGTTTCTATTAATTTTGCCAGTTTATTCGCCACTATCTGTTAAAAATTAAAGCTGGGATGACCCGGTTTCTGTAGCAATGATTCATTACAATACAAAAAAACCTAAATAATAACTATAACAAGGAAACTATGTTACAAAAATTGTTGAAAGTGGCGCCTATGAAGTGGCGCCTCAAATGAGAATATTCGTTGATCAGGTATCATTCTATTGGGATAGCGCTCCATGTACAGACGTCTAGCTTCTCTTACATTAATTTTCATTCGCAAGACCATACATGAAATGCATTTCAGCCATTTCAAAATTCGTAAAATTTGGCATTGTTATGAGATGAGATGGCATGTCCAATGATGTAAGTCCTACAGCGAAACATATATTCCAAATTTGAGCTAAATATTTCAAAAACTGGGAATTATAGAGAAAAAACTAAAAAATTTAAAATTTCAACACCCTGTAGATCGGTAACGAAGAGTTTGTGGACCTATGTTTATAAACAACTTTTAGTCATGAAATAAGCCAAAGAATTACCCCCTCCCTTATGTACATGATATTTAGGAACACCCTGTATATATTAGACGTAAATTTTGCAATTATTATCCTTGCCATCATACTAATGGTTGGATTTCAAGTCTGTTTTGGATGTTTCATTTAAATTTCCATTGAAAATGTAGATAGAACTTCTCCCCGTTTTTGTGACTATGAATTAAGCCATATTGAGAATAAAACAAATCAGAATAGTGTAATAATTTTGTAACAAATATAAACCAATAAATGACATTTTTAGTATTTTGTTTTTGGTTTCATTAATTTACTATTATTACATATGACATAACTTTGTTCAATTCGGTATATTTTCAGAAACAAAATTGAAAGAAATTTTTAGTTTTATTTAACGATTGTCGATACCAAGAAAGTTAATTTTTAATTAAATTAATACACTTTTTTATTTTTATTTTATAGGAGAAAATATTTCTTTGTAAAAAGTTTAGCTTTTCATTAGAGTAAAATATACATTGAAGTTTGTATATATGGTGTGTTCAGGAAATGAAAAAATCTGAAAGTGATATAAGTTTATGTCTATTTTTATAACGTGAAAAAATGGTGTTAAAGAGGTCGTGAATGAATCCGTTAAATTCAACAGATCTAAAATAACAAAAGTAATGACCTAAAAAAATAATAATAAGTAATTATATTTGATTTATGCAATATAACGTAATCCCAAATTATTGTTCTGATGAACAATGATTTTTAAATTAAAAAATCACAAATTCACAGTTTCGAAAGAAAATATTTATAAATATAAACTAATTTTTAATTATGCTGTAGATTCTTGTTGGTAGATTGAATTCATGAGAAAAAATTTTTTTATACAAATACAAAACTTTTTTGAAAGCAACAGAAATACTGCGCATCACAAAAAAATAAAAAAAAATGTTCTAACGATTTCTTTTTCTTTCCTCATAAATGAATAGGATTCTCACCATTTAATTAATTTTATATAATCTTTTTATTACAGAATAATAAATTACAAATTATCAACAAACTGTAATTTTAACATTACAATTCTTAATTTATTTTCAGGAAATCTTAAAATCTAATCATTTCTTTTGGACAGCTGCACATTACAGTTCGTACAATATTTGTTGAGATAGAATTCCAAGAAAATTATCGGAACAACTGTCTTTCTACCCCTGCTGTTGAATTTAAAAGGCAGGGGCATGGTTTGAAATTTTCCGCAAATATCTTTTTACCTCGGATGTGGAATGCGGTTAATTCCAAGAAAGCAACACAGGGGTCTTCTTGGAATTCTATCACAATAAATATCGTACACACTGTAGGTATAAGCATACTATAATGCTACTTTAAATTTGAAAGTAGCAATTCTGCTCAATTATCAAAGATTTAAGTTATTCAAAATTTGGCACAATTTTTTTTGGGTTTAATAGAATATATAGTTTAGGTTTATGTGTAAATGTAATAAATATCGATACAGAAGTAGCATTGACCTTAAAACATGTAATGCTTTCCAGATTATTAATGTTTATTTATTTTTATAAAGGTTTACATACTTTTATTTCAATTCATTCAGTACATTGCTGCTTTTTCAGGGGGCAATAGTGAAAATTCAAAAATATAAAAATTTTGTCTATATATTATTTATTCAAAGAAGTTAATCCCGAAAAATTTGTCAAATATTTCTACCACATTTAATTGAGCAAATAGTTTTTGAGTCTTAAACATTTGGTATAATTTGAAAATTTAATATACGTTCACCAACTTCAAATTCAACCCATATTTTTTTTCTGTGAGTTTAATGATTCTTTTTACAAGTTTTGGTTAAAAATGTCAATTTTTAAGTCCAGGCTTTGGGATTTGTAAAAAAAATGTATAACTTGCAGTATACAGGATAAAGAAATGTTTCCATCTATTCTCTGTAGAATAATTTTGATATTAATTTTAATAAGCTTCGTTATTTATTTTTTTTAATCATTTTAATCTTTATTCATTCAAGAGATTCGATTTTTTTACGAAAATACTGAAAATTTGTTGCAATTTTAAAATTAGTCACTGAAGAGAATGCTACGGGCAACTGTCCTCAGCATCAGTTATTCTTTTTAAGTCTCTTTAATTAAGTTTATTAAACCACAGAATCGTATTTGATCATAAGTCGACAATTCCCCTGTATACTGTTAACTTGTAAATTCATGTTGCAAAGCCCAAAGCATGTGCTTTAAAATTGATAATTTTCTCTGCAACTTGTAAAAAAATTATCAGACTCAAAACAGAAAAAAATTAATGCTCTTTAAATCTATTTGCAATTTTATATAGATTTAATTTTAAATTGATGACTGTATTATCAAGAACTAAATTATGTCTCTTAATGAATGTCCACAAAGTAAATGAATGATTCACAAGTTACATTGCTACTAAATCAATCAAATGAAGGTGAAATTTAAATATTTTCAAATTTCATCACGTAACGGTCTTCTAGGCCAAGAATCTTTAGAGAGGATATTTTTCTTAGCTTCCCACATAGCATTAATTCTTTTCTCAAAAGGTTTTATGTAAGTTTCTTTCCATTCCTCAATCGTGTAGTTGTCATAGATTTCGTACATTGCCGTTGTGATACCATTATCGATTTGACTGAGGTCGCTTTTTATTCTACTTAACGGCGCTGTTACAGAATCTACGTGATTGGGATTGGAAAATTTATGCTCGATGTTGTAATTATCTAACCAACCATGTACTCTGGGGTCTTCTAGTATTGTTTCAAATTCTTGTTTTAATTGTTGAAGATGTAAAACGTATTCCAGTATGTTTCCACCAGGATATGAACAATGAGGGCTACCAAAAACGGAGCCAATTAGGGCATAAGGTTGCTCACACTGTAAAATTTTTGCAACTTCTGTTGGTGGACTTAACGGTGAATCGCTGTAACCTAAAGTTTCAATCAAAACATTAGTTATTAAACATAATTCAACTTTCCAGATCATTGAGATTGGAATTTTACATATTTGAGGTGAATAAGTTTAGTAACAGATATACAGGGTATGTCATTTAACATCCCCACTTCTAAGTTTCAATAGTTCCCTTTTAATACTACGCACAGCTAGATAAACACTATTCAAGGAGAATGGTGTATTTTCCTAGTTTTTAAGCAAAATATTTGTCATGGTACCATTAAGCAAAACATTTCAAATCCAACATTAAGGCTGTGTTCAGTGAATGGTCGGTCAAAGTCGTTCAGGGGACAAATATTTCGTTGGTCAGCCCAATCAGCTGATTGGGAATATTGGGCAAGTTTTAATACAGTTACTAAAGGCCGTTCAGCGAATTGTTTGACTAAAGAAGTTTGACCAAACTAGTCCGACCATTCGCTGAACACAACCTAAATGTAGTAATTTTTTGCAATATTTTAATCTAGTGCATTAGCAACAATGTTTTTGCACTTTTATGAGTAATTCCTTCAGTGTTGCCAGGTTCACCCACTAAAAAAATAAGCAGGCTAATAGCTAGAATCTATTATAAAATAATATCTAATTAATTACAAATTAAAAATAACAAAAAAATGTTCAGATATTCACAATTACCAGTTTATAATTAAAAAAGTTATAAAGAACATGGAATAATTTAATATATAGCATTGTACTTAAAACATCGGTACAGAAATCGTTAACAGCTGACATCCCAACAATGTTACAGTACACATTTAGTGATCTTTATTTTTCACTTAATGATGTCAGGCACATAAAATAGAATCATCATTTTAAATTAATTACCACTTCACCACTTTCAGGTTTTAACAACTATTTTGATTTATTAAGAAGATTACTCTGGTACAAAAACAGTAGAATTTCTATTTAACCACTATTGCAATTCACAATGACAACAGTCAATATGAAACCATCGCCAAATGCGCCACACATCGTCGTTGATTTTGCAAACAGGCATAAGCGACAAAAAGAAAATCGATCACTCTGTTTTTGAATTAAGCCTTAGGAAAATGAAAGTGTATATATTATTATTATTATTATTATTATTATTATTATTATTATTATTATAGAATGTACCTGGTGCTAAAGTTGAAAAGCTTAACTCACGTAATCCGGACGTGTATGCCTCCTTCAAGGTCTCTGTTCCTGTCGATGACGCCCATTTGATTACGAAACCAGAGATATGGCCCAATGGGGTAGCTGTTAACCAGTTTTTTCGATCGAGACAACGCAACAGTATTCGCTTCACCGATGGGCCTAAATAAGAATATACCAGCTTCACATTCAGAGTGCTCCATCCTGCACATCAACATACAAAGTGTTAGTAATAAAATCGATCATTTGAGACTTCTACTATCCGAAACTCACGTGGATTTTCTTTGTCTTTCAGAGCATTGGTTAACAGAGGTATGTTTAAATACAGTTAACTTGGACGATTATTCTCTGGTTTCTTATTTCTGCCGAGAACAATCTCATGGAGGAGTTGCTATTTTCTCTAATAATTTTGTCAAGTGCAAACCGGTTGATTTGAGCACATTTGTAGTTCCAATTCACGCTGAGTTTTGTGGTTGTGAAGTCGCTTATTCTCACACTATTCTGATTACCTTATATAGATCCTCAAGTAGTGGAGATTTTACAATTTTTAAACATTGTCTATTGAATTTGTTGTATCACCTCAATAGAAAATATAACCATATTGTAATAGTGGGTGACTTTAATATCGAGTTCAATAGAGACACTGACTGTGCTAAGCAGCTTTTGGATATTTTTAATTCATATGGATTGTCTCATAAAATTAACGTCCCCACTAGGATTACCACTACCACTGCTTCTTGCCTGGACAATGTTGTGACTAATATCGATGGTGGCATATTGGAAGTCTCAAACTTTGACCCGGATTTATCCGATCACTGCTCACAATATGTCACTATACGAGTTACACGGTTAAGTGATGTCCATAAAGTCACCGAATGTCAAAGGCTCATTACTCAAAAAGGACTAAAAAAATTTCATAGCAACTTGTCTGGTGTGGATTGGGGCTGCTCGAGCTTTGATCAACTGGACAGCAACGGCGTTGCCACCTCCATTTTAGACTGTTTGAAATCAAATATTAATCTGTGTTTTCCTTTTCGTAAAGTCAAGAGGCGTNCGTACCCACCCCAATGGACCTTGTGGAAATAAATGGATTAGTCCATCAAATTGTTCATCAAAATTTAGCTGTGTATACCAAATTTCATTCATTTATCACAACGCGATTGAGAGATATTGCAAAAAAATGATTTCCATTCCTCCCTCTTCAATGGGTCCCTGTGCCCTTAGGAAGCATTTCCAGACCCATGTTCATATGAACTTTTTTACTTAGTTTTGATCATAGAATGGGCCTGTTCAGGGTTGGCAGCTAATTGTGAGACACCCTGTATATACCGAGTTCATCAATACTTGCCTAAAAGTAATCTTAAACTCATCGCTAGAGTTGGAATACCAACAGGAAGTAGTTCACATAATACAGCAAAATGGTCATATCTCTGCCAACCTGTTAATATTATTCCTTGGAAGTTGACATGATCTTTGTACTCCTGGATTAACGACAACCAACTGCGATGATTTTGCAAATAATGTGTAACATCCGACACAAACTGATTACTACCTATTAAAAATAGGATTTGTGTATGAGCTGATAAAAACAAGTTAGTTCGTAACAATAAAATAATTTTAGAATTCAAAAATTACTTATTCATTAACTGTTTGTTATACATACTATACAGGGTGGTCCTTAAGTAATTGTACATAGAAGTATGGTAGATTTGTGACATTAAAATATTGCGATTTGAGCCAACTTGCCTTAATAAAATATTGATAATAAGAAAGATACAGGGTGTTAAGTGAAATTTCAAAATTTATTTTTCGCAATAACGAACATTTTTGGACATTTATACAAAAAATTTTTTATCTGGGGTTTTTTTGGCATGAGAAATCATAATTTGGTATTTAATTTAATGTATATTTTAGAGGGCGCCACATAAGCCACATGTGTGGCATAAATGTACGCTAAACTTTTTTGCCCATCAAGGTAGCCCTCTTTTGGGAAAAAAATATTACAGGCACGGCATTGTAAGAACAAAAATGTATGCTGTTTAACAACCTCTAAACTTAACGGTTTTCGAGATAATCAAATTTTAAAAATCGACTGCATAATTTTTTAATTCATTACAAGAAATAGTAACGTAGTAGACAGAAGTCACAATTGATTTTAACAGCTAAACATTCTTGTTTTCATGATCTATGACGTTTGAAAAAGTTTTAATTGAATATTTCCGGTAATTAAGGAATAGCAGAAAATGCCGAGATAATAATTTTTCTAATACAGAAATGAGAAATATGGTTACTATTTACTGCCAGCAATATTTCAACGGACGTGCTGCAAAATGGGAATATTTTAGAAGATATACAAACAGGCTGCAACCTAATCACCAAACATTTGAAAATCTATTTAGGAATTTAGGCGAAAGTGGTTAAATTCGTCCTAAACGTGATGATTTAGACCGACCGAGAATCATTACGCTTGATCAAGAAGATGAAATTGGTTCACGTTGCAGATGATCTTCAAGTTAGTACAAGAAGGTTATCTTCAGCTTTAGGAATCAGTAAAACTTCACTTTTAAGAAGACTAAACCTCGATAAATATCACCCCTACCATTTTACGCCTGTGCAAAATTTATTGCCAGCAGATCTACATTAAGATACCAATTTGCAAGTGATATCCGAAATAGGCCAAATCTTGACCCCACCTACCTTTATTTAAGGGTATTTTTAATAAAAGAAATAATCATATCTGGGAAATTGAAAATCCTCATTTTAAAAGAGAAAGACATTTTCAACGCGAATTCAAAATAAATGTATGGTGTGGGATCATTGGTGACAATTTTTTAGGGCCATACGATTTCCCGCATACTTTGAATGGTGAGAACTACTTACATTTTTTACAAAATGACTTCATTGATCTTTTGGAAGAATTGCCACTAAATTTCAGGCAAAATATGTGGATTATACAAGATGGTGCACCTCCTCATTATATGAGAGAAGTCAGAACATATTTAAATACCAACTTTCCTGAACGCTGAATTGGTCGTGGTAGTCATTTCCTTTGGTCAGCACGTAGCCCAGACTTTAATCCTCTCGATTTTGGCGTATGGGGCGCAATGAAAAAACTTGTTTATAAAAGTCCCATAAATACTCGCAACCAATTTTGGGAAGAAATAAATGCAACTGCAGTTTCTTCCAACCAAACATGTTATTTAATATAAGGCCATCTTTTGTGGAACATATGGATAAATGCATCGAAGAGAATGCGTGGACATATCGAACGCTTACTTTGACATAATTAAACTTGTAATGTTAGTTAGCTTAGTTTTTTCTGTTCTTAATTTGTCTAATATTCATTTCTAATTATTATTACTAAACTTATAATTTAACTGCTTTTATTTAATTTTTAAAATTTTTTAAAATTTTTAAATTTATGATGTCAACTCTTACTATTAGGTTAATATTTATCCTGTTGACGTAAAAACATGATAAACGTATACAACTTCTACGTTAATATTTCTCGTAATGAATTAAAGAAGAATTATGCAGCCGATTTTTAAAATTCGATTATCTCGAAAACCGTTAAGTTTAGAGGTTGTTAACAAGTATACATTTTTGTTCTTACAATGCCGTGCCTTTAAAATTTTTTTTCCCAAAAGAGCGCTACCTTGATGGGCAAAAAAGTTTAGCGTACATTTATGCCACATAGGTGGCTTATGTGGCGCCCTCTAAAAGATACATTAAATTGGATACCAAATTATGATTTCTCATACCAAAAAACCCCCAGATAAAAATTTTTTTGTATAAATGTCCAAAAATGTTCGTTATTGCGAAAAATAAATTTTGAAATTTCACTTTTAACACCCTGTATCTTTCTTATTATCAATATTTTATTAAGGCAAGTTGGCTCAAATCGTAATATTTTAGTCACAAATCTACCATACTTCTATGTACAATTACTTAAGGACCACCCTGTATAACGGTAATAGTTATATACATATAACTTGAGATATAACTATTATATTTCATTAACGTAAGTATATACAGGGTGGTCCAAAAGTACCGGAATGGCAGGATAACTGGGAATTATCAAGGGGTAGGTAAAAAGTCAAGCACTAGGGGTTCAGGATTCTTCCATGGCTATCCGATGGTGACCTTGAATTTGACCTGGACCATGACCTTCAAGGTCATATCAAGGTCACGATAATTTTTTTAAAAGGGACCCGATAATTTTGACCCCGGAAATGGAGTGGACAATTTTACATTCGGATATGACCTTGAAATAACCACTAAGGTCAAGATCAAGATCAATTATCAAAAAGTCCCAAAGGGGCCCAATTGTACTGAAATGGCTGGTTAATTCGACAGAAAAAATGTAATAGTTCTAGGATTCTTGATAGGCACTAAACTGGTGACCTTGGATTTGATCTTCGCATTGACTTCAAATTCCTTATCTTCCGGTCATTTCAAGGTCAAGTACGACCACGGCGGATATTAGAAGTTATTAAAGGAAATAGTTGGTCACTCTTGGTCATTAGTGGTTACCAAAGGTGAAAGACGGTCATTGAAGATCAATAGTGGTCACCGAGGGTAGTAGGTGGTTTTGGGTGGTCAATAGTAGGCGAGGGTAAAAGAATAACTAATTTGACTTTGAAATGATCAGAGGATAAGGAATTTGATTTCAGGGCGGAGGTCACATCCAAGGTTACCGGTTTAGTGCCCATCAAGAATTCTAGAACTATTGTGGAGAACATTTTTCCTGCTGGGTTATTCTGCCATTCCGGTACTATCGGGCCACTTTGGGACTTTTTGACCTTGATCTTGACCTTCATGGTTAATTCAAGTTAATATCTGAACATAAAATTTTCCGAACTCTCCATTTCCATGGTCAAAAATATGGGGTCAAATAAAAAAATTCGTAACCTTGATATGACTTTGAAGGTCATAGTCTGTCAAATTCAAGGTCATCATCTAATAGTCAGAAAAATCCTAAACCCCTAGTGCTTTACTTTAACTCTAACCCTTAAATATTCCCAGATATCCTGCCATTCCTATGCTTTTGGCCCACCCTGTATATAAATCATATAAAAATAAGTACATTTAGGGAATAAAATATATTATTTCAAATACCTGTGGCCCCTTTAAATGCACTAGCTGCCCAAACCTTTGTAAAAACTTTATTATAACTATTCCATAAAGTGGGACCTAATTCTTCATACACATCTTTAGTATATCTCCATACCACCGGTTCAATGTTGTCAATGAAATGTTCTTTTTTCAGATCCTCCAAACTTATTGATCTAATTTGATCATCCCACATTAATATTCTGATATGAGGATACCTTCTATTTATAATATCAATAATATTATTTATATGTTCCAGAAATAATAAATTTTTAGACAAGTTGTACTTTAACATTGCATCTGTGCATCTACTACAAATGCCTAAGTAATAAACTTCATCAGCCCCAATATGAATCATTTCTGCACCAGGGTGTGCTGCTATAACCTGTTCGATCATAGCCGTTATTAATTTTAAGGTATTTTCATGAGTCGGACAGATGACTTGTGGGTAGGCAGGTACTTCTCTATAATTCTTATAATCTGATAATTTTAAAATGAACTCCATATGCCCAAAAGTTTGTATTAAAGGTATAACTTTAAGATTATTTTCTTTGGCCATTTCGTTAATTTTTCTTATGTCTTCCAAGCTATATGCATTTAATGCCGAAATATTATTTAATTCACCAGAATATGGAAACATATCTTCATATTCCATTAAAATACCAGTACTACCAAGTTTTGATAATAAAGGAAATAGTTTTAAATAATAAGAAATTTTAGGTGGTGCACCCTTGAGATCGAAATGAACAATTTTTTCACCTTCAAACGGTATATTCCTCTGGTGAGCAGGTTCATCAAATTCATTAAACATATAATTATTTTCCTGTTCTCGTTTCTTCACGCTGTAAGATTCATTAGGTTTTTTTCGTAGGAAGTAAAATAAGCTCATTCCTGCCAAGATAAGAATTAGTAATCCATATAGTTTCAAAGGTTTCGCTAAATATAGGTACCGAATTTTCTTCATTTTTACTATTATTTTCACTGGCACTGACTTATTTCTATATTAATACATTTCTTAATCATTTTAACAATGCCTTCTAGATTTGAAAATTATTATTTTTTATGTTAAAGTTTTTATCTGGTAACGATTTCTAGGTTATTTGGTTATTATCACAAATCAATCAATCAATTATGTTTATTTTAATCAAGGTCACTAAAATGTAATAATAGCTGTTTTCTTTTACTCATGATTTCGAAATCATAACGCGTTACGATCCGAAATCTAGCAATCCGATTGGTTTACATCGGATCGTAACACGTTAGCTGCTTCCCTTTTGCAAGAAAAATCACATTAATATCACATGATTCACATGTGACATGTGACGTCATGACTCAGTTAATTGTGCGTTTCTTTTAATTTTCCGAAGCGAGTTTGAACAGTGAATTTTTACCCCCACTTACTGCTAACTGCATTAGTTTTAGAGCTTGTTCACTTGGCTCATTTTGTGCTCAGTTATTTAAAGTGAGATTAGGCACGATTAGGTTTGTTTTCAAAAGCTAAAAGTTGCAAATAATAAGTAAGTATTATGATTTATAACGTTTTTTCAATAATAATATTTCGCAATTAAGTTTATATATGGTTTATTTACATTTAACTCATATGTCGTTCCTTTTACAAGATGCGCGCGCGCCATTATTCCATGACTAGAAATTGGCCTCAATGATTTGGGATCGAGGGGGATTATCCCTCTCTATCCTGCCTCGTCTTGTGTGGGCCTGGACAGCCTTCGTAGGTGGGCCCCATCCGTCGTCTACCCCGACCGCAAATGCGGCCGGTGTAGGCGCTTTGTTGGACCTCCTTTTGTCCTGGCTGGGCCCCGCCGGCTAGGGCCCTTTCTTCTGGCGCTCTTCTTGCTTCGCCGGCTCGTCTGTGTAAACCCCGGGGGGGGTGTCATGTTTATGTGTGGTATGGTTGGGTAGGGCAGTGCGGCTATGCAGCCTGGGATGCGCTTTGCCAAGGTGGCCCTTAGGCTAGCGCGGGAGGGGAGGGGAAAGGAGGGTATGGGGGGTGTGTATGTGTGTGTGTGTGTGTGTCGTTGTCTTCGTTTCTTGATCCCGGATGTCTCTGAAACAGAAAAGGTTAGCGGGCAAGGGGGGGGTCGTTGGGGTGGTCACCCAGGGTCAAAAAGTTGGTGTCTATTTTACAAGATGAATCACAACAGAAACAACTGATGTGAGTACACTCACCTCACGCGTAATATGTACTCAGTTGCTTGCAAAATCATGAGTCAAAGAAAAGTGCTAATAAGGAGGTTTTCTACAAACTGCTGATCCTCTTCGCGCCACTTCCGCTAATAAACTAATGGTGACGTCATTGGTATTATAAATCGAATACGCCATTATTCTATGGCTAGAAATTGGCCTCAATGATTTGGGATCGAGGGGGATTATCCCTCTCTATCCTGCCTCGTCTTGTGTGGGCCTGGACAGCCTTCGTAGGTGGGC